ATAACTGAAAAGGTGTTCTAAGTATTACTTTTGTTTTTAACTTCAATATTCTAGTTATTTCATTTTCTTCATTCTTGATTGGTCTTGTTGAATGATCCACTTTAACTGAATTCCCATGTGTCTTCATGTTTCAGTTTATGGAAATCCATGGTGATCGGGCAGGTTATGATGATCCAGCTATTGTTACTGGTATAGGGTTGATAGATGGTAGAAGATACATGTTCATTGGTCACCAAAAGGGTAGAAATACTAAAGAAAATATTCAGCGTAACTTTGGGATGCCAACTCCTCATGGGTATGTCCACTAGGAACTCTAGTTGATACAACAAATTACTAGATTTAAGATAAGATCTGAACTCTAATTTACATTGATTTTATCTGCGCACTGATGGTAAACTTCCAATTGAAACAAACAGTTACAGGAAGGCTCTTCGTTTGATGGAATATGCAGATCATCATGGGTTCCCCATAGTTACATTCATTGACACACCTGGTGCTTATGCTGATCTTAAATCAGAGGAAGAAGGACAGGTATGTTGTGAGTTAGGCTCTAAGATTCTTTGGCTTTCTTTTGTTACAAGGTTAATCAATTTGTTAATTTTCATCTTTCAGGGTGAAGCAATTGCTCACAATTTGAGATCCATGTTTGGTCTGAAGGTTCCAGTTATATCTATAGTTATTGGAGAAGGTGGTTCAGGTGGCGCCCTTGCGATTGGATGTGCTAATAAGCTACTGATGCTTGAAAATGCTGTTTTTTATGTTGCAAGGTGATTTATTTTTTTACTTTGCTATTTGCAAAATTTATAATGTTGTAATAATTATTTCAATTACATGCTTTTAAGCCCCTCACATGTGCATGTTAGATTTCAATTGTTACATATTGTTGAGTTTAGTCCCACATCAGAGAAGCTTGCAGCAAGCTTCATGGTTGTATTATATAAATTTTATCTCTCACTTTAAGAATTCAGAAAAACAACAGAATCTGTATTTTCAAATTTACTATTAAGAAAGAACTCCTTTTATTATGAGAAATGAAAACTATAAATTTGGGTTATACAAACCATACATGGATGATCAGGAATAGAAGTTAGTAGTCACATGACCACCTAGAAAAGTCATGGCATTTTTCTTTTAATTTTGACAATTAAAATATGTTCTAATGGTCTATATTTGTTATTTTCTTCGTTTCTCACGATGAGTTCTTGTTTGATTTACTGTTATGTATGTCCGTGTGTGTGATATGGTTGATTACTTGTGCTGTCATGAATCATTTTACTAATTGAAAAGGTGTTACTGTTCTTTTCTTCTGGTTTGACCTTTATTTATTACATGATTTAGTCCAGAAGCATGTGCAGCAATCTTGTGGAAGAGTGCTAAAGCTGCTCCAAAGGTATTTATGACGCCAGTACTTTGACTGTTTCAATCCATAATATGTGTGTGTATATATATATATATATATTTAAATTCAACTATTTTATTTTTATTGTCCTATGCAGGCTGCTGAGAAGCTGAGGATTACAGCTCCTGAGTTGTGCAAATTACAAGTTGCAGATGGTATTATACCTGTAAGTGCTATTGATTATGCTTTTTCTCTCCCTTAAATCTTGTTCATGTACATGGAATTTATCATCTTAATGGTTTAAATATGAATATATAGAGTATTTTTATGTACTCAGGCAAATTTTTATGTACTCCAGGTTTAAATATGAATATATAGAGCATTTAACATTACGTAGATTGATAACAGTGTTCTCTTGGGAATAGATCTCTAAGTAGAGATTCATTGTTTCTTTTCAATAGGAGCCGCTTGGTGGGGCACATGCAAATCCAGAGTGGACATCTCAACAGATAAAGAAAGCAATCAATGACACCATGGACGTAAGTTTTAAGGCAGCAAGTATTCTACCGAAAAACAGATATGTGTAATTTTGTGTTAACTTCAGATGTTTTACTTGTCCATTATGCAGGAACTCACCAAGATGGACACTGAAGAGCTTATAAAACATCGCATGCTTAAGTTCAGAAAGATCGGTGGGTTCCAGGAAGGTATTCCTATAGATCCTAAGAGAAAGGTCAAGATGAGGAAGAAGGATCTTTCAATTACTAAGATGCCTGATGCTGAACTGCAAGCTGAGGTTCAGAAACTGAAGAAACAAATTTTGGAAGCTAAGGAATCTTCTCCCATTCCTCCAAAACTAGATTTAGATGAGATGTTAAAGCAACTGGAGAAGGAGATCAATCAAGAATACACTGAGGCAATTAAAGCTGCAGGCTTGACAGAGAGGTTGTTGCAACTACAGGAGGAAGTCTCAGCAGCAAATGCAGATCATGAAAGTCTTGATCCATCGCTGAAGGATAAGGTAGATAAGCTAAGGGTGGAGTTTGAAAAGAAATTGCGTGCATATCCTAATCATGGTAGGCTGCAGAAATATCTTAAGTATTTCAGTGAATTATCTGAAGCAAAGAAGTTGTCAGGTGTAAGCAAGGACACTGTCACATTTAAGCAAGAGTTGAAGACGACACTTGATCAAGTCTTGAGTAATCCTAGATTAAAGAAAGAGTTTGAAGCATTAAAGGATGAAATTAGAAGTGTTGGTGCATCCTCAGGAAGTGGTTTGGATGAGGAGTTGAAGAAGAAAATCACTGACTTTAAGAAAGAGGTAGACTCACAGATGGTTACTGCTCTGAAGTCGATGGGCTTAGATGTTGCTGTAAAACAAGACAAGGCCACCGACCCAGGTACAGAAGAATTAAAAGAAGAAATAGTACATCAAATTGATAGTTTGGTTAACTCATCGGAAGATATTAAGAACAAGATGCAACTACTGAAATCGGAGGTTGCCAAGGCTGGAAAGTCACCAAGTTCTGAATCACAGAATAAAATTGATGCTTTGGTGCAACAAATTAAGCGGAACCTTGCAGAGGTCATTGGCTCGTCTGGCTTAAAAGAACAGTATGAAGCTCTGCTGTCTAATGGAAGTCTTGATTCAGCTGCAGACAGGGTCACCGATGAGGAGGCGAGAGAGCATGTTGGGGCAAACTCTACCATTTCTTAATGTGAGTTCATCTAATCTACACAAATAGTCTCAGTTCGTTTTCTGAATCATTAAAACATTCTAGGGAGGGTTTTATCATAGCATTTTGCCATAGAAAGTTGTTCTTGTTGGTCCTAAGTTGAAACCTACGTCTTGACATGCAGAAAGAAAAGGGTAGTTTTAACTTCTAAGATGGATTTATGTGATTTTGGTTTAAAAATTATTGCAGTGAAAAAATTAGGTTGGATTTATATGTACACTGTTTTTTCTTATACTTCATTAGAAACTGAAAGTTTGCACCTTTTGTAACAAACTGCAGAAATGCAGCTCATATGGTGCTGGCTGCAACAAGTGAATGAATGAAATAGTGGAAACTACACCAGTGTGAGTAATCTTGATACGGTACTATTAGCTGGTTGTGTATCATTTAGCATCAAGGCCATGTTTCTTAGAAACAGTTTTGGTAATTTAAAGGAGATACCATGTTAATGGTGGCTAATATTTTTCTATAATCTTCCAATAGAAGACCAGCAGGGGAATAAAATTGAAAACCATTTTGTATTTGTTTGAGTCAGAATGTTGCAGTTAAATTTAGAATGACCTTTTGTGTTTTTTCTTATTTTTTTCTTTTCTTGTTCATTTTGCTATTTTCTTAATCATTTAAAATGTTAGATTTCACCTTAAATAGACTTAGACAACATTGTATAAATTGCTTTAAAGAACCAATTAAACTATACCAAGTGTGGTGCTGTAATGTATTTTCATTTTCAAGAATGATCCCTACTTTCTAGATGAGCTTTTAGGCATTGGGAGTGCAAATCCTTAACGTATCCTAGCAAATACTTATGGAAGCAAATCCTGGATTAATTAATTTAACACTTATGGAAGCAAATCCTGGATTAACGCTAACAAATTGTGAAGTGTTTTGTACCAAGCCACAGTATTACTACACAACAAACAGGTAAAAAAGTTTATAATAATATTTCTTAAAATACTTATTATAAAAAAGTCAATTTTTTTTTTGTGATTGTGAAAAAGAGTTTCAGTTTCATAACATATCAATTAGATTCTTTATCCCCAATGTATCATAATTAATTACACTTGAAGGAGGGGAAAATGGAATGCGTGTTAAGTAAAAAAAAGGCATCAGGATCAAGAATATTGAAGAAAAAAATCTATCTGAAAGGACTGCCACTCTTTCAACAGCTAAAACATGAATATAATGAAAGAAATCATATCTACCCATTTTAATTAAAATTGAGACTACGTTGGAAATTTTAAGAAAGCAATAAATTACAATGGAAATAAAGTTCAAATATTGAGACAGAAAAAAAATTCTATGTAGTCTTCCAGCTATAATCTTTACTGTTTTTCTTTTACTTTTGCAAAAATTTTTAAAAGTCGCTGTGAATAGAAATTAAAGTTATTGGAATGATATTTTAAAACGATATTTTTGTATAAAGTAAATTTTTGTGAATTTTAAGGACTAATGTGAAAATGTTAATGACTTATAATTTATTTTTCTTGAAACACTTCATAATGAATATTTTTTATTTTTGAGATATTTTAATTTGATTTTTAAATTTTTATATCAAAAAATATATCATATAAAATTGCAAGATTTTAAATAATAGTACATATTTGTTCTTGAGCGTTCAGTACTCAAAATTTCTATCAATTATAGTCATAAAGATTTGCAAATTTTGCCTTCGGGCCACAACCAACAACGTCAACATTGCTACCTCAAAATTCTTGCCATCTAAAGAACAAATGAATAAAACACTCGATCACAACAACATTCCATTTTAACTATGATATCCCTTTTTGATCCTATTTTCTTTATTTAATCATCACCTTTAAGAAATTATTATTTCCATTAAATTGTTAATTTTATACATATTAGATAACTTCTAAAGATAGTATCGATAAATATACAAAAAATATATATATATCAGAGTAAAGATGTGAAAAATAAAATCACCAAAATTGTAATTTAAAATTTAAGAAAAACCCCTTGATCTCAGAATGAGATTAGGCAGACAACTTCGAGCAACAATGCATCATCGTCATAAACACCATAAAATTATTGGTGGTTTTCCCCCTTAATCCCATTTCACATCCCCAATTACAATGCAACAAAAAACAAAAGAAGAATGATCAATACAAGTAGGGAATAACACCCTTCCTTTGCTTCGGATAATCCTCTCCAAACTTTTCCAAATACCACCTGCGGTTGGCACGTGCCCTGGGCCCGAGGTTAGCAAAAGTATAAAGAAAAAAGCCAAGCCCAGCCCATGACCAAGTCATGACAGCCCAGCCCAACCACTCCACAATCTCCCCAAAGTAATTAGGACACGCAACGAGGTCGAACAACCCTCCCCTGGGCACCACGTAGCCCTTCCCCTCGCTCTTCAGCCGCAGCAAAACCCTATCGGCCCACACATTAATCCCCATCCCACACAAAAACACCAAAAGCCCAATAAAAAATCGGACCCAGAAAAAGCCCGAGGAAGTATAATGGGCGTGGTAGTGGGAGATTGAACGGGTCTGGAGATAGGAATTGAGAAGGTTGAAGACGAAGGCCATGAGGGCGACGGAGAGTGGGAAGCCCGAGGCGGTTTTTCTGGAAGGGGTGAAGAGGAGACGGAGAGGGTAGATGATGGTACGGTTGAAGTAGTGGAGGAGGAAGGGGGTGATGAGGGTTTGGGCTTTGGGGTTGTGGGAGTGGAGACCATGGGGGAAGAGAAGGAGGGTGAGCCAGAGCGTTGGGCTTTCCATGAGGAGCCAGGCGAGGGGGGGCGGGAGGTTGGGCCCCCAGCCGGGCCTGTGGTGCTTGCCGTAGGGGGCTTGGAGGAAGGTGAGGGAGAGGAAGGTAGGGGGTGCAATGAGGAAGAGAGCGAGGAGGGAGTTGTGGAAGAGGGATGCCTCGTCTTGGATCATAATTGTTGCACTGAGAAAGTGAGATTTCAGAGTATGATTACAGATAGTGGAACGAAGGAGTTCTCTTATTATTGTTCTTGGGGTTTGGTCAGACTGTCATGACTAATAAAAAGCGAATGGGGGAATGGGGGATTGGGGGAAGGGGACCTGTGGAAAGGACAGAGGGAAGTTTTCATTTCATGCCAGCATTAATTATAAATTATTATTGCAGTAAATTTATTATCGTCTTACTCTTTCGACTCATTTACATTTTAAAAAAATAATTAAAATAGATTTAATTAAGATTTAATTCACTCATAAATATAAATATTTTTAATTAAATATCTTTTGAAATATTGGTTTTTGATATATTTATATCTTTTAATGATTATCTTTATTTATTTTTTGTTATTTTATATGTCATTTATTATTGAATATGAAAATAATATTTTATATGTTATTTGAACAGTAAATTCATATAACTCAACACAATCTAAATGTCTTGAAATAATATTGTGACTAAAAAGATTAAAAAAATTATAAATAACCTTAAACTACTAGTATATATGTGGTGGAGTCTTTTCAAAATTCCTTCGTCCTCCTTCTTTATATTTTTCATGTTATTTAGAGAAAAATTAAGAGTGAGATTTTTCCTGAGAATATCTAAGATTTTGTATTTTTCTATTTTACAGACAAATGTTTGTTTTGACTAAGTGAAGTTTTGTTTTTCTCTATTATATTTCTTCATCAATCCCTTCTTCTATTTTCCTTTTCTTCTGGTCTAACTCAAATGTTTGTCTTTAGAAATATAGATAAGGAAATAAAAACTTCCATTTTGGGTATACGCTTACACAAAAGTGGTCTCAAAAGGTATTAATTCCCACCATCATTATGATTGACGAGCACAACTTGTTCGACTAAATTACGAGGAAACTTTTTGATATATAATATAATATAACATGTAGAAGAAGTACAAGTAACTTGAGCAAGCTATCCAGGATTGAGATTGTTCAAAATATGGAGCCAAACATCATGAAAAACTACATGACAACCTCACCAGAATTCACCCAAACAGAAAAAAAAGTTATAAACCACCCAAAATCATTGCAATCATGGCAGAAGACAACTTGTTCGACGAAATTACGAGGAAAGTATTGCTTGGTAGTACTTGCAGTAGTCACGGCAATTGGGTTGAGGTCAAGTCATCCTTCACACTTAGCTACCTTAATGGACCTTTAGGTATATTAAAATAATACTTTGCCAAGAAAAAAAAGCTGAACAATAGAATTTATTTATGTATACACAAAACCGTGGAAGTGATTTCTAGAAAATGTTGTGTTCTTTTCTTTTTCAATTTCGAATTCATCAAATAAAAAATATATATAGATATATTAATATACACTGTTTAAAAGTGTTGATGAAGAGAACAAGCTTAGTAGGAAACCGCGGTCGCCACCAACTTTGACTCAGCCATAAAATAGTTTACTTTAATTGGTTCATTCTTATTTAAACGGCCAAATCCTTTGTTACGAAATATGAAGACGAAAATGAAGAAGGTTAGTGTGACTTTATTGATTTTTGTTTTGGTGGAAGTGATATGGTGTGAAGGGTGTTGGAAGGCAGAGAGGGAAGCTCTTTGGGGTCTGAATGCCCGTTTTGGCTTCCCTTTGTCTTGGCAGTGGGATGACACAGATTGTTGTGAATGGGAAGGAGTAGAGTGCAACTCCACCACAGGGAGAGTGGCCAAACTTGATCTTCAACGCCTGTGGAGTGTAGCGTTCATCCCATCAGATTGGCATTTAAATTACGCTGATCTTGTTGTCTTCAAAGATTTGAAGAGTCTCAACTTGAGCCGTAGTTTTGGGATATTTGATTGTGCATACAGTGAAGGTTATTCTCTTACACATTCTATTTCTTGATCATTCTTTACTCACTAAAAAGCAAAGTATGAGTAATTATTTCCATTTAATTTTAATACTTTGTAGGGTGGGAAAATCTGGAAGTCCTTGACTTGAGTTACAGTAATATGGATGTCACCGACATTCTTGTTTGTTTGAATGGCCTTCCATCTCTCAAGTCTCTGTATTTATCATACAACAGGTTCCATGCAACATTCAACGGTAAGGATATAGATTATTATGATGATGGCGACGGCGTGATAAGCATCTTTTTAATATTTACTTCAAAATTGGTTGGCTTCTTCTACAACCTTTGACTAATACATTGTATACCTTTAGTTTTTGAAACTCTGTCATCGCAGTTGCTTAGATTAGAGATCCTTGACATAAGTCAGAACACTTTGACTAATGACATGTTGCCATCTCTCGGGGGATTCACATCTATGAAGGAACTGTATTTGTCTGACACTGGATTGGACTCAGATAATCATATCCAAGGTGGAATAATTTTCCCATTTCATTTGTAAAGCAAAGGATACTGATAATAGCTTCAGGATAATATATATACGTANAGAAACTAACTGTTATACAGTCCATCACCCCAACTGCTCAAAAGGGTAAAACTACAAAAGAAAAAATTAGAAAACCCTTACCTCAAAGTCACACACGAAATAAGCCACAAAAATGGAAACGCCAACCTAAAACCTCACAGCCATTGGAAACTTCCACAACCACCAATTGGGATCGGCACAATGATGCTACACCTTCAAACCCACGAAAAACCTCTACAACCACCGATTCAACCACTTCAAAAACACAAATGGGAAACAACGAAGAAGGAGGGAAAACGTGAGAGAAGCAGGTCAGAGAAAGTTAACCTAAATGGTTTTTTTCATTCACTGTCGAAAGAAGAACGAAAACTAAATTTACATTTCTCCCCTTTTACCCTCAAGTAGAATGCCATTTTTTAAAAAAAAAAATTACGTGTGCCGTGTCATATGAATGTAACTGACACGTAGGCGTGTCATTGTATTACTACTCTTCTAGAAAATGTCGTGTTCTTTTCTTTTTCAATTTCCAAAGTCATCAAATAAAGAATATATATAGATATATTAATATATACTGTTTAAAAGTGTTGATGATGGGAACAGGCATAGTAGGAAACCGCGGTCGTCACCAACTTTGACTCAGCCTTAAACTAGTTTACTTTAATTGGTTCATTCTTATTTAAATGGCCAAATCCTTTGCTACAAAATATGAAGATGAAAATGAAGAAGGTTAGTGTGACTTTATTGATTTTTGTTTTGGTGGAAGTGATATGGTGTGAAGGGTGTTGGAAGGAAGAGAGGGAAGCTCTTTGGGATCTAAATGCCCGTTTTGGCTTCCCTTTGTCTTGGCAGTGGGATGGCACAGATTGTTGTGAATGGGAAGGAGTGGAGTGCAACTCCTCCACAGGGAGAGTGGCCAAACTTGATCTTCAACGCCTGTGGAGTGTAGGGTCCATCCAATCAGATTGGCATTTAAATTACGCTGATCTTGTTGTCTTCAAAGATTTGAAGAGTCTCAACTTGAGCAGTAGTTATGGGATATTTGATTGTGCAAACAGTGAAGGTTATTCTCTTACCCATTCCATTTCTTGATCATTGTTTACTCATTAAAAAGTGAAGTATGAATAATTATTTCCATTTAATTTGAATACTTTGTAGGGTGGGAAAATCTGGAAGTCCTTGACTTGAGTGAAAGTGATATAGATAATGTCACCAACATTCTTGTTTGTTTGAATGGCCTTCCATCTCTCAAGTCTCTGTATTTATCATACAACAGGTTCCATGCAACATTCAACGGTAAGGATATAGATTATGATGATGGCGACGGCGTGATAAGCATCTTTTTAATATTTACTTCAAAATTGGTTGGCTTCTTCTACAACCTTTGACTAATACATGTGTATACCTTTAGTTTTTGAAACTCTGTCATCGCAGTTGCTTAGATTAGAGATCCTTGACATAAGTCAGAACACTTTGACTAATGACATGTTGCCATCTCTCGGTGGATTCACATCTATGAAGGAACTGTATTTGTCTGACACTGGATTGGACTCAGATAATCATATCCAAGGTGGAATAATTTTCCCATTTCATTTGTAAAGCAAAGGATACTGATAATAGCTTCAGGATAATATATATACGTATGTAATGTAAGACACTTTAGCTTGCAGGTTTATGCTCTATGTTGAAGAATCTTGAGGTCCTTGACTTGTCTGGCAACAACTTCGATGACACTGATATTGCATCTGCTCTTAGTGAACTTTCATCTCTAAAGTCTTTAAATTTAGGAAACACTCAATTGACTCCAAGATCAATTCTTAGTATGTCACACTTCCTATATTTCAAATCTTCGTCGTTGCTTTTGGTTGAGAATATATGTGAGTGGGATCAGTTTATATGTTGCCAGATATATCAAAAATAAGGTCTCTGGAGATTCTTGACCTAGAAGGGAACAAGTTGGATGAGAGTATCTTGAGGCGTTTAGGTTAGTTGTCCTTATTCTTTACTTAATTAGAGTATATTTGACTCTGAAAATATTCATGCTCCTTCTTTAGTGTGTACACTCATTACCATATGCTGTCAATTCTGTTTTTATCAGAGAATAATGGATTTACATGGCCATCCAATTTACAAGTCCTGAAGCTGAGTTCGAACAGTTTCACCAATGAATTTCTCTCATCTCTAACTGGGCTTCGACGTCTCAAATTCCTTGATTTAAACTACAATCAATTAAATGGATCGCTCGATATAAGTGGTTAGTATAATTAATTTAATGTATTCGATTGGTTGATCACGTTGGCAGTGACTTCTCGTAATAATTATTTTATGGCGGTTGGACTTAGACTGTGAAACAGAGAATTATTTTTATGTTGTATTAGCAAAAGAGTAATACTCTTATTCTTTGAATGATTATAACATCCATTCTCTGTTTGTCTCTAACAGGATTATTGGCTTTAACCAGTTTTGAGATTCTTGATCTAAGTAATAACCGAATTAGCAGTTTTGTTGTCCATCAAGGTATTTAAAGCAATTGATAAATAAAGTCTTGATGGGTTGTCTTCAGAATACAATTTTAATCCTGTTGTAAAGCATGTTATTTATTTCTTTACTGTGTTTAGTTGTTGTATTTGCTATTTCATGTTTTTCCAAATTAAACACCATTTTCATGTTTTAGTTTCAGGCTCAAAAAGTCTAAGCAAATTGGATGTCCTTACCTTAGATTACAATATGATAAATGGAAGCAAACTGAGGGAATCACTTCAAGCTTTCTCATCTATTAGGATGCTTTCTATGAACATTAATTAGATTACAGGAACAATCACTGCAGGAGGTAGAAATACTTTTGTTTGTACTTTAAACTAAATTAGTTTCATTGTTATACTAATTATAACTTTTTTTTCCATTGTGCAGATTTTCGTGATTTAGGTAACCTTGAACAATTGACACTGGACAATAATTATGACCTTGACAATGAATTTTTCAGAAGTATTGGGGAATTGACTTCTCTAAAAGTTTTATCTGTTTTTGGATGTGGAATAAATGGCACCCTTCCTCCTGCTGGTAATTAAATTTGTCATTATAGTTTTTGGATTTCCTCGTTAAGCATCACATATTTATCCTACACTTTTTTTCTCTGAAAATTTATATCATTTACACCGTGTTCTCATTAAGATGATTTATATTTTCAAATTTTCATATTGCAGATTGGTTTAAATTGAAGAATCTCGAAGAGTTAGATCTAAGTCAAAATCTATTTGTGGGATCACTTCCTTCTTCTTTCTTAAACATGACATCTCTTCGAAAGTTGGAACTTTCACGAAATCAATTTAGTGGACAATTTGATTATAACATTGCAAGTCTAACATCACTTGAATATTTTGGTTTTATAGACAATCAATTTGAAGTTCCCGTTTCTTTTACACCATTTGCCAATCATTCAAACCTTAAGTTCATATATGGTGAAGGCAACAAAGTCATATTGGACTTACAACCTAGTATGCAAACTTGGATACCTAAATTTCAATTACAAGTGCTTAGTTTGCCTTCAATAACTGATATTGATTCTCTTCCGCTCCCCAGGTTTCTTCTATATCAAAACAATTTGACTAGCTTAGATTTCTCTAGTTGGAGGTTGGAAGGAAAGTTTCCTCACTGGTTGTTTAATAACAACACAAAATTGAATGAGCTTCTTGTTAGAAATTGCTCTTTCACAGGTGAAATCCTGTTACCATTGCATCCCCTTACTAAGATGAGGAGAATTGATGTGTCCAACAATAACATAACCGGCCAAATCCCCAGTAACAATATTAGTTCAATTTTACCAAATTTGCAATCTCTAAAATTGTCCACAAATCTCATCCAAGGTTCAATTTCTCCTGAGTTTGGGAAAATGAGATTATTGCAGACTTTGGATTTATCAAATAATCATTTATCAGGAGAGATTCCAAAGAACTTATCTGGGCATGGGTCATTGCTTAAATACTTGAAACTTTCACAGAATAAGCTCGATGGACCCATATTTCCAACTTTGAAATACTTGGAGGAGTTGTATTTAGATGACAATAGCTTTTATGGTAGCATACCAAGTAGCTTTCTTGACTCATCTCTCATTCACTTGGATCTAAGCTATAATAATTTAGTGGGGAAACTACCAAGTGTGGTTGGAAATTTGTCATACTTGAAAACACTTTCATTGTCCAGCAATGATCTTGAAGGGTCTATTCCGACAAGACTAGTTGAACTTGAACGTTTATCGTATCTAGATATCTCAGACAATAATTTGACGGGTTCTGTGCCATCTTTTGTCAATGGTTCGGTGAATTACATCCGTTTGAGCCACAACAGGTTAAGTGGTTTATCCAAAAGAATGTTCAGCAATAGATCTTTCTTAATGATACTAGACCTTAGCTACAATGAAATAACTGGCAGCATTCAAGATATGATGCAAGACCTTGCTCATGCAAGGTTGAACATACTCCTTTTGAAAGGTAACCGCTTTACAGGACGTTTACCGGAGCAGCTATGCCAATTGGAAGATTTAAATATACTAGACCTTTCTTATAACACTTTTTATGGTTCAATACCCAATTGCTTAGGTAAAATGCCTTTTGAGAATGATGACTCAGATTCATTAAGGGACGTATTCAATGGGTTTATTCGTGCAAAACATGCACATTCAGGGGTTTTGATACCAAATATAAACGTGAAAGCAAACTTCACTACAAAGAAAAGATCCTACACCTATACAGCGAGCATTCTTGCTTATATGTCCGGAATTGATTTATCCAAAAATAAACTAAATGGAAGTATTCCATATGAGCTTGGAAACTTGACTAGACTTCGGGCATTGAACTTGTCTCACAATGATTTGATTGGACAAATTCCAACTACATTCTCCAACTTAGAACACGTAGAGAGTTTGGATCTTTCTTTCAACATGTTAAGTGGTGAAATTCCTCCTCAACTAAATCAATTGAACTCACTTGCTGTATTTAGTGTTGCGCATAACAACTTATCAGGTGACACACCCGATCAAAAAGGCCAATTTATTACCTTTGATGAAAGCAGCTACGAAGGAAATTTTCTTCTTTGTGGACCTCCATTAACAAGAAGTTGCCATCCTTATGCACAGTCACCTACCATTTCTCCAAATGATGAAGACGATGACAGTCCTATTGACATGCATGCTTTTGTTGTAAGTTTTGGTGTGACATACACATCGATATTGCTAGTAATTGTTGCCACTCTCTACATTAATTCTTATTGGAGACGAGCATGGTTTTCCTCTATGGAATTGACCATCTTAAGTTGTTATTACTTTTTGCAAGATAGATGGAGGAGGTTTTCAAATTCTAGAAATTTGTAATATAGTTTATCTTGTATCCTAATTAGATTGTCTTGTTGTTCGCTAAGAATTGATTCAATCATGGTCTCCTTCATGTTCTCTTTGCTAAAATATCTCAAATTTTTGTTTTGACTCTAAATTTCATTTTTGTGTTCTTCATCTATGGAGAACTAATATTTGTGGATCAATTCATTGAAACAAGATCGAATTTGTTATTTTCTAATATCAGTTTTTCACTTTCTAATTACAATTTGTGTTTTCAATTTTAGAAATCATAGTAGAAATTAATTGAATATTAATTTGATAATTAGAAATAAATTAGATTGAATGATTGATACTTTGATTTGATTTATATACTTGTTTAATTGATTAATTGAATTGGCTAATCGTTAAAACTTAGATATGGATGTTTAAAGATGTGTAATAAGAGACATTGTTTAGCTTCTAAATTGAATACAATTAATATATGTACTCCGCGATTTAGGTTGTGTTCTAAATTGTAGATTTTAGAGAAAATTGATTTGGTTTCAAATTGAAAAGCATGGTTCCACCAAATCGAGCTCACAACCAACTCTTCAAATTGTTGCCAGCAAATTGTGATCGTGTTGTCTCGCCTCATTGAATAAACCATGAATTTGTATTCTAAGATGCTTCTTCGGTGCAAGTTGAAAGGATTAGCTTTTAGATTTAATCATATTCGAAAGGCCTTATTGATGTATTCTTTAATCTAATTATGTGCAACCTCCAACTCTTCTCGTCATATAAATGAATGTAACAATTGCATCTTTTTGTTTCTAAAGAGTATTTATGGAGAACTTACTAATGGTGCCAGTTATACAATCATTTTAATACCTGCATTGTGGTTTAAGCTAATGTAATTTTGACAAGGAGCATTAAGTATGCTTTTTCCAGTCATTTAACTGAAGTTTGGTCCCTTAACAACAAACAGCAATCGTGCTCAATTGGTCGATGTGTTTTAGATATACTTTGCACTTGAAAAAGGAAAAAGACAACGAACAAAAGGAACACTTGATTAGAGCCCATGAACAAATTATAAGAGCAAAATTCAAAATGACGAATGTTTCAATAATTATTTCTAATTATCATTTTCTTTCCTAATTTCACACTACAGCATTTTTCACTTTAGACAAAGCTAAACTTGTTT